AATAATCCTGGATGTATATGACACCAAATACGTGTAACTATTTCTGAATGTCTTCGAGAAGGCTTTGAAAACTGATCAAACGAATATTTACCAACCAAAGGTTATGTTATTAAAGAGGAATAATATATATTTGTAAAATCTCAGCGAAATAATTTGAAGTAATTCCAGTGTTTCGTCTGGCAATCTGGTCCAAGCTTTTTCAAGGAAAATATAATCAAACATTGATAATTTAGATGACTCACAATAACTCGGCGCCCAAATATTGTGAAACTATTCGTTCAAATTTAATCAAAGGTTATGTTGTAGCGATAAATAATTCCCCAAAATAAGTAGCTCTGTAAGTTTTCGACATTGGATGCTGACCACATGTTCTAATGGACTCACCTAGCTGAAGGCGCTCGGTCATGCATCCGCACCAGATCACGTGTGGGGACGCCGTGCTCAAAATCTACCGCAATCGCTAGCCAGATTAGATCAGACAATTCCGATATATTAGTAATCGTCAAATACACTCTTCCGATCTCCTCGATTCTGTCTTTTGATTTCTCTTGGTGGGTACGAGTTATATTAGAAGGTGTTACTGGTAAAAGCGTTGTCAAACACTGAATACCTGTGCCATCTTCAATGTGAAATAACTCGTCAGGATTTGTCTTATACTGATACTTCTGAACTGCCTTTAAATTCACTAAATTCTGTTCAATGAACGTTCATTACTTCTGTGTGGTTAGGCAACACTGTAGTCAGAGGAGGACCAATACGAAACGGCGATCTGATGGACTCTATCATCAAGTGCTGTTATTAACTTTTAAAGTACTCAATCGCTGGTGATACTCTTGTACCGTGGCGTCGAGTTGAGATTAACTATGAACACCGCTACCAAGAAACACGTGCCAAGTAAATCAGAAGGCGAAGGTTGAACGTAACCAAATAAATCCATAAAAATCCCCGAGAAGCCAAATATCAAAAGGCAATTAATGGACCAAGTCGAGATATATTAGCTGGCGATCTCGTGGTATCGAAAGGATATCGAGATCGTGCCAGGATACAAGCTTGGTTACAGAAGGTAACCGAATTCGCGCGAAGTCACAATCAAAGTGTAAGAATAAGAATGGAAGCACAATATAGCTGTCACTAGCACAGTCAAACAAAAGCACATTAAAACAAACACTGGTACAGTTGGTTATAATAATAATAATTGTTTTTATTAAACCAGTCGTGTTCTCGTGATAAATGTGAGTCACTACACTCTTTTTGAATTCGGTTCACACAATATATATTTAGAATTCGTTTTCAACCGTTGTATTGCACTAAATTATTGCACATTGTCTAATCCAATATTATTCTACTTTAGTGATCGGTATTGGGAAATTAGTAGCATTCTATCTATTCTGGAAACTGAACAACCAGTCGTAATGGTTTGAAAAACATAGAAGCATTTATATGCTTTTATGCTGAGTGGTGCGGTTATTTCTAAGTTGTGAACTGTGGTTGAATCCAAGTGTTTTTGTTCTAGAACCTGTTTCTGCTGTATCTCATTGACAGTGTGATTGAAAAGATTAGTGAACCGTTATAGGAACTACCCCATATATACTAGTTTGAATCACTTTTTTATTTTACTTCAGTCATCCGAAAGCTTAAGTTCGTCTGTCATATCGCATATTCACTTTGAATACATAATATCCTTGGGATGAGTTGGTGTAAGTCCCGTTAATTCTTTGTCCCCAATCATGATTCAGTGATATACATTATTGACTTAAACCATGGTGGCAATTCAGAAGCGAAGTAAGTGTAGTGGGGAACCTCAAATCGCGTGTTGTGGTAAGCCACATCTTACAGCTTTCCTTTAGATAAGATCATTTACATAGACTTATACCATATCACCTATGCGAAGAAGTAGAGAGCTATTGCATAAGACCTATGCAATACAATTTATTTATTGTGTAGTGACATTAGTTCCTAACCACTCGATCCATCAGGCTAAACATAAAATAACTAAGAGGGCTTACATTAACTACTGAACACCTCGAGAAGGTCAGAAAATGCAAACACCGGAATACCTAATCAAGTCGACAAGGCTCGGTCACTTTTTGTAGCCTTTTGATTTTAATGTTGCAGATGTCATTCTGTTACCATCTTAAATGTAATTTGCAGTGGTTTGTGAAAGGAAACCAACTAGCCGTTGCTCTATGACGACTCAGTACAAGTAATGATTTGACTCTGATGTAAAATCTTTTAGATAAGGTCATAGTATTATGGCAGTTCCATAATATTTGATCAAGTCTGTTATTCTGATAATTCATATAAGTGCACTAATACCGAACAATATTCAAATATCACAAGTGCTCTGTTAAATTCAGTGACTTCAGAACTGAAGTGAGGAAGACATTCCACGACGTAGTCTGTCAGTAATGAACTATCTTCACAGCATCGCAGTCCTCTAACTTCGGTATACGATGTATATATTATGATTAGGCGGCTTGTCCCATTATTTCCCGAGAACCCGGACGTCCATACCATATCAGTACGTATACACTAAATATCTGTTTCTATTTTTGAAAATGAAACTACTTCAACCTGCCTTCCTGCCAACTAAGACTTTAGCTCAAGAGAAAAACAAGTGAAGGAAGTGAATTGATGGTTAATAAATGATACATGACATGGCAACATAAGAGTGTATATAGTACAGTGATTTACTATTTTTAGGTTCGTATGTAATTGTAAGTTTGTATCGCCTGTGATAAGCACATGTCTCAGATAATGTCTATGTACGTCGTTAATGATAACACTGACAAGGGTGATTACATATCAGAATTTTAATAAACTTTCAGCCTTGTTCGAGACCAACTTTTTTAATTGTCTAAATCCTCGTACAACGGTGAGAAGGGAACTCCACTTTTATTAATCCTCCTTTCAACTCATTTTACTTACTATGTGCCAACCAGATTTTATACGCTGTACGAGACCCAGTGGTGTCTCTTTCGAATATACTCCTGGGTTCACGAGACTAGGGCTTGGCTACTTCATTTCCAGTTAAAAGCCAGCTCTGTGGGTATTTCCTATGCTTTATTACAGCATGACGTGGAAGATAGTATACTATTATTAGTCGAATAGGAGATGGATGGTTGTCACTTCAAATTCGATCTCAAATTTATTACCAAACATTTCAGTGGAACACCAACAGGTAATCATTACACGTTCAGATGGATAATGGAGGTCCGTGGACTTGTTACTGTTACGCCCAAGTTTTTGCTTGTTCCCGCTATTGAAGTGCGGTATATCGATCTATTTGCAATTTACGAACCCGAATCGACAATAGAACCGAACTCCAATTTATGTAGCAAAGTCTATTTGCAATGTACAAATAGTCGACCCAAATGTCGTTCTAACAATAAATGTAACAATTATAGAAACAAACCTTCAACTTTGTAGGTTTCCGGAGTAAGAACTCCCAAATACCAAACCAAAGTCAAAGAGAAACAAAAATGTCCGAAAATACTAATATAAACAGACAAGTTCAGAAGTTGAGTAAAACAAAAACATCCAAGAACACAGTGAAATTAAAAATATTTAATATAAAGGTTATTGTCAGCCAAATGTCTTCAGTTCCCCCATAACAGTTACTACGCCCAAGGCGCCGTCTTTCATTAAAATTTCTGAGGCTAAACTACAAATTTAAGTAGCACTCTTTGTCACTGAAATTTCCTGCTCATTTACACATTGTTTGAACTGGTCATCGAGTCTTCATCTCCTGCAGAAACCCGATAGACGGATGCCTATTGAAAGACTTCCAGACTTTGACATAAGCTACATGTAGTGATTCTCGGCCACTTAAAGGTTGATATCATACCCTATTGCCAAAAAGGTGGATAGGCCAAAAACGTAGAGCTATCTTTCCGGTGTAAGTAAGCCTTAACAATAAATACCACGAATCTTTTCCAGCTGGAGGTGTTAGAACGGCCACGTCTTGATTATCGTATCTTAAAGGCAAGATGATGATGGAGCGCGTTGATTAGTCCGTCTACACTAATCACGGCTAGTAGAGGACTTCAGAAGCCACTGGAGAACACTTCCAGGTATATCTATTGTGTTAACAATTGTTTGGAATACCTCAATCAAGCTCCAGCAGAGTACTCCAAGTCGCTTTCTATATTCCATAAATAAGCCACTATGAAGATCGCCGCTATTCAAGCTTTCTGTAAGTCAGAGTTCGACCGTTATCAAATGAATTTTATTTATAACGGTAATACTTTATTCTTATCGAACAGTGTTACACGTTCATTTCAAATAGTAGAAGAAAACACTATTTGGCATGTTCAGTCAATGTTTTGTAATATTTTTGAAAACGAGACAGTTAATAACATTCCTGAGTATACGTGGTAACCACAGCTGAACATGTGTCTGAGAAAAAACATTGGATAGCACTCACGAAATAATATTAGTGGAGAGGTAGTTCAACCGTACGCTCGAATTGAGGATCGTTCACAAATTGAATACCATATGTTAATCCTTGTTGCACACGGTCATTTAGTGATCGTGCCTACTCGATAAAGATATTTTAAAGTTGATTCCGTCAAGAATCACAACCAAGTTTCTGTTTCCTACCCGGACACTTTATGAAATCGTTGCCAACGCACTTAGACGGTTCATACTTTCATTCATACGTTTCCAACCCATAAGTTGAGGGCAATCTCTTTAACTTTTCACCAACGATATGCTCTCTTGATTATTTCCATATCTGAGCTATGGATGGTTAGTATATATGACAAAAAGATCGCCCTATAGAGTAAGTAATAAAAGCGAGAATTTGTTTCACCTACGCAAGAAATACTAAAGAAGATGTTAAATCTAATAGGCAGTAGATAATGCATAGATGTACATTTATGATTTAACGTGTCTTTACAAGTGTTCCTTTTCATTAATACTCATCTCATAATCACTCAAATGTTTCTACCACTTTTTAACAAATAGAATGAAGTAAAGAGAAAATCACAAAATTTTATGAAGACGTATATTTTAAGAAACCAGCTGAACTGAAGACAGAGCAACTAGGTAAATAAAAACGTCAGACCATTAGTAACAGGCAGGAAGTGTGTACTTAATTGACCCCCATGACAGACGAGCATAGTATACTGTGTTCTAGCATTCAGGTAAATATTCAATCACCCACAATATAAGATCATGAGGCAAACAAGTAAAGAACAGTTTGTATAACTTAAAATCATCTTCAAGGGTGTATGAAACCGTTAATGGTTTGGAGTTTTTAAAATACTAGCCCAATATTTAGATATATTAAATAGAATAATATGAGACAAAATTACTGTTGATGAAGAACATTTTCATTTGATTGAATAACCTAATGGAAGACTAGTTGATAAAACCATAAACCAAGGAATGATCTTACTGAAGAGTCGTAATTATCGAAACAAGAATGATGATAATAAAATACTTGTTAATTTCTTTGGTTTTAACAGAATAATTGCAAAAGTTACCACGACAATAGCATATAGTTCTTCGCATACCAGCACCACCAACTGAATTAAAACAACCGACACCATATCCTTCTGGGATAGCAGCACATGTACGTGATACAACTACAGCAGTCAATGTTGGTACGCCGAGTTGTGGTCGAACCCTCCAACTTTTTGTCACAATTTTAGCACAACCATTATAATTTATATTTTCACACTTTCCATAATTTGCTGAATCGATAAGCAACTTGATTGCTGAACGATTTACTCTTTCTGAACACAATCTTGATATTTGTAAACTAGTCAGTCCATTTCTTAAATGATTTCCATTACTGGACATACTAGTCCAACCACCAACTACTGGCTTCCCACCAAACCATGCTAATCCGGTGCCCGGACCAGGACGAAAACCAGAACTGTCTGACAAACTTGCATAATTGTCACAAACGAAACAATGTTGGGTTTGTTTTACAATTGGTTTATTTGAATATTCCAGATAGTTTGTCTTGGTTACATAAGCTATTGTTATGAAAATGATTACGACTAACCAACAGCATATTGAATAAACGCCCTTTAAACGAAACTACAAAAATATAGATTAAACACTGGTTACTAAGTTAAAATAAACACACTTTATTTGATAATGTTATCATATGAAATCATATCATATTCAGATAGCTAGAAAGACGAATTCTATGCACACAAAGTGGTCAGATTAGTTTAATTTTAACTTTGTGTTTAGATAAACGAGTCCATTTATAAGTTTGAACGAACAAGAGCCTATTTTCCTGTGTCTGTATTGATCATGTTAATTAACAAATCATTGCACTATGGTGTTTGTATCAAGTAATGATTCCTTTGTACTTGATAACTCCCTGATTTCGAATTCTAAATACAATACGTTCATTTGTACTCACCTAGTTCTATTTACTGTAAACTGCACTATTTTGAGGATTTCTAGTTAATACACTAACTCAACTACTTCCATTTCTTTAATTGAATTGAGAAAATCTTCAGATTTTTTACTGCATTTCAACATTTCATTTTGTCTGAAACATTCCTCTTTGTTATCAATGTAACTGAGTTAACAGACTTCGACGGAAAATCGAGTCAATTACTCATCTCAGCTGAATAAATATAAAGTCGAAACTAGACGATGAATTTCGTATAGTGACATAGTAACTACGTACAAGACAATTTAAATGAATAGTAGTGAATGCATATATCCAATTACAATTCATATCTAATGCTTTTGGTGACATTTCAGTCTGTGAAATTGTTACTTACTTACTTACTTACGCCTGTTACTCCCAATGGAGCATAGGCCGCTGACCAGCATTCTCCAAACCACTCTGTCCTGAACCTTCTTTTCTAGTTCCATCCAATTCTTGTTCATTTTTCTCATGTCTATCTCCATTTCTCGGCGTAATGTGTTCATTGGTCTTCCTCTTTTCCTTTGACCTTCAGGATTCCATGTGAGGGCTTGTCTTGTGACACAGTTGGGTGCTTTCCTCAATGTGTGTCCTATCCACCTCCAGCGCTTCTTCCTGATTTCTTCCTCCACTGGGATCTGGTTTGTTCTCTCCCACAGTACTTTGTTGCTAATAGTGTCCGGCCAATGGATCTGAAGTATTTTGCGTAGACAATTGTTAATAAACAGCTGTATTTTATGGATGATGGCTTTCGTAGTTCTCCAGGTTTCTGCCCCATATAGTAGAACTGTCTTGACATTTGTATTGAAAATCCTGACCTTGGTGTTGGTTGACAGTTGCATTGAGTTCCAGATGTTCCTCAGTTGTAAATATGCTGCTCTTGCTTTGCCGATCCGCGCCTTCACATCTGCATCAGATCCACCCTGTTCATCAATGATGCTGCCCAAATACGTAAAGGTTTTTACATCTTCCAAATCTTCTCCGTCAATTGTGATTGGATTGGTGCATTCTGTGTTGTATCGGAGAATCCTGCTTTTCCCTTTGTGTATATTGAGACCTACTGCTGCTGAGGCTGCTGCCACACTGTTCGTCTTCTCCTGCATCTGTTGTTGCGTTTGGGATAGAAGGGCCAGATCGTCTGCGAAGTCTAGATCATCCAACTGCATCTTAGATGTCCATTGTATCCCGTGTTTCTCTTCAGATGTTGACGTCTTCATGATCCAGTCGATCACCAGGAGAAAGAGAAAGGGTGAGAGTAAGCAACCTTGCCTAACACCGGTCCTCACTTTGAACGACTTTGTCAACTGTCCTCCATGCACGATTTTGCAGTGTAATCCATCATATGAGTTCTGTATGATATTGACTATCTTCTGAGGCACGCCGTAGTGTCGAAGAAGTTTCCACAGTGTTGTTCTGTCCACGCTATCAAATGCCTTTTCGTAGTCAATTAAGTTGATGTAGAGTGATGAATTCCATTCAATTGATTGTTCCACAATGATCCGTAGAGTTGCGATTTGGTCTGTACACGATCTATCCTTACGGAATCCTGCCTGTTGGTGACGAAGTTGGGCGTCTACGCAGTCCTAAATCCTGTTTAACAATACCCTGTTGAAGACTTTTCCCGGTATTGAGAGAAGAGTGATGCTCCTGTAGTTATCACACTTGCTGAGATCGCCTTTCTTCGGTATTTTGATCAGTAGTCCTTCTTTCCAGTCTGTTGGTACTTGTTCCTCATCCCATTTTTATCAAGAGAACGCGATTGGTTTAATGGAGACAATTATTGTTATAACCAATTGTACCAGTGATTTTTTTTGCTGAGCTTGCTTGTTTAACTGTACTAAAGTCAAACATTCTTCCGTTGATTGTGACCTTGCACGAACTTACGTTCGCTCAGTAGTTCCGCTTGCACTCCTTTGGCACGATCTACTAATCATATGTTAAACAACCTATAGAAATGTTTTAGCATACTTTCGTCACAAATTGACCTAGTTTGTTATGATAATGAATACCAGGAAAAATTGGGTGTCCGTATGGTACTCTTCATAATTACTCACCGACGACCTCACCAAGGATGAAACCTGGGTCAAGAACTGTGACAAGTACAACCAACAAACTACATTAGTCCCCGCAAAACCATGCAATCAGATCACTGGTCATTTCAAGATGTTCCTGATATCCAGTGAGAGATTGTTATTGGTGAACTTCAGACACGATGTGAGTGAAACAGTTGTCACTAATAGAATTGAATGACCGTCACACTATGTAGAAAATTAATTGATTCTAGAGTAATATCTATGGATGAAGAATCATTAGTTCTACTGATTAAACATTTCTTACGTGACCTAACGGTTCTAGGTTCGATCGTTGGCGAAATCTTATGCGAGCACTACTGAGGAGTCTTATAGTAACTCGAAACAGTTATATTTGGTTTCACCTCTTGGTTTTCAGTTTTACTCTAAATGAGGTCAATCAATGAAGAATATTACCAACATATCAGAGAATAATCTTTATAAATCCCTTCAAATTCAATAAATTTAAAAAGGTTAAGGCGACCAGCTATCTATCTATCAAATAATCGACATTGATAGTCAATATTCGATCTAAGATGATGTCAGCGACACTAATTTCAAACATCAATGATAGTTTGAAGCGGCCAAGTTTTTAAATATACAAACCATCTTGATAATAGTTGTTATATAGTTTCAAGTTATTTAGTGATGTAACCAACGTTGTTGAAAATTACAATCAAAGTTTTACTAATGCAATATGTAAAACATTCATCAAATCTACAAATCTCCTGCATACAATGATATTTATGATTATTTACTTCTCAATCCATACATTTATAACTAAACAGTCACATCACAAAACCTAAACACTAATAATGGTTAACTTCACGAATCATTCAAAGCTAGACCGCTACGGGAAACCTGGAAGCACTGGATGGCCGTTTCGTTCTAGTATAGTACTCATCAGCAGTGCAAACCCACGACCCTGCCTCGCGAGATACGAGCCCAGAACTCACCAAGCTCGTGGATGTACACTGCCAATGAGGAGTACCATACTAGGACTATAAGGCTGTTCAGGTTTTCCAAGATGATCTAGCTTCAATTAACTCATGAATTCAATGATTAAAAATGACTACAATCTCTACAAAACCACTTTGTGATTACAAACACTCATAGTTAAGACTTACAGTTTTAATCACTTCATCTTCATATTGACTATTGTTAATTAAATTTTTATTAGAACATTGTTCTCCATGAGGATCTAGAAAATTCAATGAATTTCCAACATGTTCAATTGGTGTTTGATCAAGCAATTCAGAATGAATTATGTCATGATTATCATCTGCCTTAGCAACTATTATTAAATGCTTCATAGTGAATTATATAATTCAATTTGAATGATTTAAGAAAAAAATCTGGATTTTTCTATTTTGTTTCTTGATTTCATTTCAATGTAACCGTGTTACATAATTTATTCAATGGATATATATGTTGTATCTACGTGTTTTTACATGGTTATGTCATTTAAAAGGTGAAGACATCACTATGGTGATTATTTTTATTTATTTATTTATTTATTTATTTATTTATTTATTTATTAGAATAGATGAATGTACACATGTTTATCAGTCTGTTTTCAAAAAAGGACTTGAAATATCATTGGAGTGTACTATGTATGTTACATAATATAAATGAATTGATTTTAAAGGAATATACAATTGTAGACGTTGGTAACAAATGAGAAAGTACTCAATACATATATCAATATATACACATATACACGCACAGAAAGAGAGAGACGGGGGGGTGTTAGAAATTGGTTAGAGATATCAATTTTCAAAATGAACAAACAAATAGATGGTCTTGAAACCTTTTTTAACAAAAAAAATTTGTTTTCAAATGTCCATTTATAAGTATCAGTTAAGTGTTTACCTGATGGTATTCCATAGAAAAAAAGGATTCTAATGAAAGTTATATATGATCAGTGAACAATATTGTTCTTAGTTAGATTCTCATCAGGCTTTACTGTCATATAAATGAATAGTTTATTGTCTGAATTCATGAGTCAATTAAAGCTAGACTGCCATCGAAAACCTGGAAGCACTGGACAGTTGTTTCAATCTAGTATGGGATTCCTCAGCAGTGTGTATCCATTATTTCATGTGCGGGACTCGAACCCTGTGTGATGTGTGCTACTGATTATGACAGATGTAAGTAGTATGTATCATCAATCTAAAGTGAGATGCCCGCATGCATGAACATTAATTAGAAGTCAAACTCCATGACATATCCTCATTTACATCAATGCATGTGGACAACTGAGGACACACATTTGACTGTAAAAATATGGAAATCTTGGAAAGAGGTAGTTCTAAAGCATCGGAGAATTTTTAAAAGCTTGGGACTCAGGTAAATCAACAATCAACAAGCACATTGAGATCGATTCAATTTATCAATTAACAAACATAGGACCGAAAATCTAACCAATGGGAGATACAATCAAAACAGAGAAGTAAACAATGATTGATTGAAGGTCAACAAGAACCAGTCAACCCTATGGTCTACAGGACAAGCTGTGAGCTATATGTGGAGAAGTTTAAACACTTCTCCTCTGTTTGAAGTTTAGAAAAACGATTAAAGCTCCACGTCCAAACCATCCAGCTCAGAGAACAAAACTCCAACAAAAATATTTCATTACATCACTGGTAACCTTCTCACATTCAATGTGCTTGATACACGACTTTGGGTCCTAATATTCAATAACAACACATTATTTAATATATCATTCTTTTCCGTAAATAACTGTTGATTCTGTTATCAACTTCATTTCTCCTGTATTCACTTGTATTTCGTATATTGTATTATACTACTTAGTAGAAATCAGTAGCTTATGTGATTATCAATAATTTCAAAGCGTGTAGATTATAGTCTCCTTATTGAGTATTTACATGTATTCCGAATGGTTAATTGATTTTATGATTGTAACTGTACTTTCTCTGTTCTTCCCAGTTTTACTCAGTGAAATCTGATCTTTCATAACGACTTGCATGTTGTATTGTTCTCTGTTCAATGTGTTGACATAGATTGTTGATATAAAGCATCATGTTGTTACTTGGTTCATCATATATTTTATAAATTATTTCTCATATAACTGTTTAAAGGAAATACTTCTCAATGATCATACCTGGAAGGACTACTAATATGTTAGATGCTTCATCAGTCCAGATTTGTAAAACCATGTTAAGAGAGATGTATCTTATGATTTCTGACTCCATTATGCTATATAGGCCTTTGATTCACCAGTAATACTCGGGTATTAGTGGAATATAACATTCACAAGGGAATATGAGATTAAGAATGATTGCGTAGTGTTTGTATGAGCAGGTGATTTTCTCCTACTTGTTGTCCACCTAATTTCGAATTCTAAATACAATACGTTCGTTTGCGCTCAACTAGTTCTTCATGGTCTAACTTACGCTATTTCAGAATTCCTGGTTCATACAATAATTCAAATACTTCTACTCATCAAACTGGCGTCACGATAGGGCCTGTAATGGAAAATTTGGGCATTCATTCAAGTTTTGGTGCTTTTAGGAATTATATAGAAAGGTCTGGAATCTGAATTATGACCAAGGAATATATTGAGGATGTTAATATTGTAGCACATTTCCTTACATTCACTGAAAAGAAGTCTACAACTTCTTAAAAACTTTCGCATTCACAGAAAAGCTTATTTTACTTATTTATACAACTCTCAAGGAACTACTACTAGACCATGTAAAGTGTACAAATTTCTAATGCCATGAACGAGCAAAATTTCATAAAATGATTTCTCAGGACGTTATAGTGACCTACTTTTATGAAAAGAACACGATTGGTGTAATGGAAACGTTTATTATTATAATCAACCGTACCACTGATTGCTTTACTGTACCCTTTTGTTTAAGTGTACCAAAAAACACGCTTTACCGTTGTTTTTGACCTTGACCGTGCTCACGGTAGCCTCACCTGTAAACCTTGGCACGACCTCGGTATTATTTAGATACCACGAGATTGCCAACAAATATATCCTAACTACAATCTACAACGGTCCTTCTAATATTTATCCTACAGAGGGATCTAACCTAGTAATTGGCATTTAGTCGATCTGTAGTGATGATCATAGTCAACTGTGACTCGATACAATTACAGCATCAAGAATTCCGCTACATTATTACGTCATCCCAATCTAATGAGTACTCAGGGTTATGCAGATAACAATTCATTGAGGAGTCGCGATGCAGGTCAGGAGGATGAGCTTAAATATGGTAAATGTTTGTTCTGTGGCAAATTACACTCAATTAATTCATGTATATTTCGTAATCCTAGGTGCTTTAAATGTAGTGAGATTGGACACGTGCAGTCAGTATGTGATACTGTTTATTTCACTACGAGTAATGCTAACCTCTGTAGTTCCGATCCTACTAAGTTGAAAGTTTAAAAGGAATGGTACTCTGATCAGATTTATGATATCATTTTATCTGATATGCGTTGTTCTCATGATTTATGTATTTCTATTGAAATCATTTACAAAGATGTAGAGGTTATATCAAGTGCACCAAATCCTGGCCAGAACTCTTATGTAATTTGTTTTAATGATCCACTTATTTTTAGTGAGATCTTAATTAAATGTTAGAAAAAGTTCTAAATGAGTTAAAACCTGATTACAGTGTATAACTTTTACCGTATCGTTCCACTGTAACGAACACTCTCATGGATCACTCAGTATTCATGGAAGGTACCATAGTCTACCACTTTTCCTGAAGAGGGGTTAGAAAACGAATATGTTCCTTGAGATCTGCGTCTGGACGGCAGAAGCGTTGTTATGTATGAAAGGGTGTAGCCGTTGCTGTGTTCCTTCTTAATCAGAAGAGTATAAGTGTCGGTTACTATAAGTGGAAGTGATCGTGGAGTTACACTGACGGTAATCACTCTCAATAAAATTTGAAACTACGGAACTATTGAGTCTTCTGGAAGGTTCTAAAAAAGTGCCATAACTATTGGCTTTGGTAACGAGTTGCAATGTTTAATGAGTTTAGACACAAAAACGTTTGTACGTAGTTTTCTGCAAGATAGTTTGCATTCTGCTTTAATAGTTGTCCTCTTAAGGTGAACCTGTGATCTACGAGTGATGCGAATACATCATCATTATATCCCTTTAATCCCTTTGTACTACACCGATTGAAAGTTTGGAACTTCCGAGAGAGGTGAGTGGTGTTTGTTTTTCACTTCGAGTATCTTGACACTTGCCTTTCTTTGAACACGTTCCAATAGAGCAATATTGTTGTCAAGATAAATGAACACAGTGCATATGTGTTTGTCGGATGAAATCTCAGGTAAACACTGAGGAATGTTTTAAATTATTCCAGAGCTAGGTTATCAGATTTTAAGAGGCCTGAAGACGAAGGCTAGTGGGGAAAGTTACACAGAGTCCCACATGGAACGATGCCTAGGCTCTTTTATGGGATTGAAAATGTGACACTACAATTTTACCGAAATTAAAAGGCGAGTAGAGCATTACTGCCATTCATCATTAGCATTCTGGGCGTGGTGGTATTGAGAAGAAAGAAACTTCTGATAGTTTCACTGTGTATTCTGTGTGAAATTCCTTGGAAAATCGAAATGTCATTTGGGCAAAGCGTTCCCCTCCAGATATAAGACAATCTGCTTATAACAGAGTTAGGAAGTCTGAAGTACTAGATAAATCGTTGGTAAACGATAATAAGAGAAGTGGCTCAAGGCTGAGCCTCGTTTCATCTTGTTTGAGATCCATTCAGATGCAGGAGAACGAACCCTAACGGCTCGTAATAGTAAATATCTGTGGTTCATCGAACCTCACTAATGCCGACGGGCCCAAGTTTCAGACTGAACGTCCGATACTCAATACCATTAGATGCCTTTGAGAAGTCTGGATAGCTCAGTTGAGCAGAACAGTTGTAATTCAGTGATAGCATACAGCTATTTCAGACAGACATTATCAAAATACGACGACTTTCTGGGAGAAAACTGTTTTGTGAGTGATAAACAAACGGTTTTTTGGCAGTTCGTTCGAAGGAATTCTTCTAAAATTCTTACCATGATATCTGCGACCGCAGAGAGCAAGGACCTTTAGCTTACTTTTGTATTTATTTGCGGGCTTGACCAAACCCATTTTCCAGTCAGGGCGTAGTTTGCTGTTGACTAAAGGAAATTTGAAGAGATCAGTAGGAAGGCAGAATAGTAGATCTGGAAATACTTTCAGGACTATTGGTTTAATTTTGTCCAGTCTTGCAGGTTTACGTAGGTTTAAGCACCTTGAAATCTCTCTGATTTTGAAAGACTCTAACCCCGCGAT